TTTTGTTTCTTCAATCACTATAATCGTGTCAATTCTACGTGCGAGGTGTGGATTAATAATAATGATCACATACTCTTTGCTAGTACAAAAGTAAAACTCATACAAAAGAATACTGCCTAAGAGTGACGATACAACAAGTGTTAAATTGCATCAGTGAAAAACAAAAAACAAAAAAAAACAAAAAAAAAACAAAAAGAAAAAGACGGGAAAAAAACGAAACTTCCACCAAATAGACATTCCATGCCCAATCCTTTTTTTTTTTTCTACTTGATGGCGTCTAAATGCGAGGCTCATCGTGAACTCAGCAGACGCATGGAAACGTCGTTCGTCCGCGTCGGAAAAAACGTTAAAAAATCTGTACGTTTTGAGAAAGCGTTTACAGAGAAAGGAGAAAGAAAGAGAGAGAAAGAGAGAGAGACAGAAAGAGAGAGAGAGAGAGAGAGAGAGAGAGAGAGAGAGAGAGAGAGACAGACAGACAGACAGAGATAGAGAGACTAAAAAAAAAAAAAAGAAAAAGAAAGCGAAACAACGGACACACGAAAAAAAATCTCGTTGCGTGCCGCTGAATCCAACGCATGGGCCGAAACAACATGAATAGTCGTGACAATTATGCCTTACTGATGAGGTTTATCGTTAAATCTACCATTAATATAATATACGGGGCCGACGCTTTGTTAATACGTGAATGTCGAGACGAGTGAGTGTCGTGTGTAATTATCATGAGGCAAGTTATATAACATGAGTATAATCGTGTGTGTTTTGCCTGGAATGAGGAGAGTCACGTGTCGTAGTATTTTTCTTTTTTTTTTTTTTTTTTCGAGCCCTATCGCCCATGTAGAGAAGAAATCAAAAAAATCGTTTGCTCGTTGTCATTCGCCGATTTTTATACGCATGTATATAGAAACGGGACGATACGAGGTATCGATTCACTCCTCTGTTTCTTTCGTCTCGCGGCGGCGGAAGAGAGGGGGGGGTTGGGTTTTGAAAAAAATTTCCGCCGCAAATTTTCGTGCCTTTTCCGGAATAAGCTGCGAAATTTCAACCAAATTTCTTTTCACCGATCGACGTCTGTTTTATTGTTATTTCACGTGATGATCGCACGTACGTGTGACGAAAAAGAAAATAATAATAATAATAATAATAATAAGAAACGAACGTTACAGTGAATACATTCG